TTCTATTTCATTAAATTATTCCCTGCCCAATCCAGTGTATCCTCTAAATAAAATACCACTGCAGCTTGCTGTACGCCGTCAGGGGCAGTCAGTGCTCCTGGGTGGGTGGGAATTCCCTTCCAGAGCGCTGGCCCTCCTGGCTCAGGTGAGCTTGGCAAGGTCCTACCAGCGCTTAAAAAACTGTGGTGGGGCAACCCCCTCTTGCCCCAGGCAAAAATTGGACATCTGGTCTACCCGATCAAAGGGTTTTCTGAAGTTGCATGTTGTCCAGCCTGCAGTAGTTTATAGTTGATTTTTTTAATTATATTTTTTCCTGGGCCTTAAGGTTCTCTATTTTGGTGTCACATCTTTTGCCTCCGAGGGCTGATTTGTAACCATCCTCTGTTTTTTTTCCCCCCTTCTTTCTCCCTAGGACTTAAAAAAAGCAGGTTTGCTGATCTTTGCTAACAAGCAGGATGTGAAAGAGTGCATGACGGTAGCTGAAATATCGCAGTTTCTGAAGCTGACTTCAATTAAGGATCACCAGTGGCACATCCAGGCGTGCTGTGCTCTAACTGGAGAGGGGTAAGAGTTTTTCTTGTCTGTACAAGGGGGATCTTGAATTGTTTTGGTGGTTTTATTGTGGTGTTTGGTTTTAACTCGCATTCTTCCCATGTCAGTAATAATCCTAAAGATTTTGGGGGTCAGGATGTGACAGTCGGTGTGATCTGAAAACAAACTTGCCCATCAAATCCAGTCATAAAACTTTGTAAGTTGGGCCTAATGAGGGCAGGGGTGGGAACGACCTAAAATCTGTGCTGGTTTATTAAGAGTAATCATTATGAGAAAACTTCAGTGTGTGTCTTGAAGTGCTGGCATCTGAAGTCTCTCACCTGTAGATGTCATAATAGATAACAATAATCGTAATAACCTATGAAATACTGTGCTCAGAGGAGTTGTTTCTGGAAATGGTTTCTTCAGTCAGAATTAGAGAGTTTGTGGGAGGAATTTAAACTGGTGCCATGAAATTACTTTAGAAGTTATTTATTCCTTAAAAATTCTCTTCTCTGTTTACAGACTGTGCCAAGGACTCGAATGGATGATGTCAAGACTTAAGATCAGATGATTTTTACTGACCTCTTTGCACAGACATTGCTTACGGAAGAGCTGTACCCATGATTACCTTCGCAGTGGCAGAATTAATGGGTTAGATGTATTTATACTGAACTGATTTCAACTTTATTTTCTACGTAGATGCACACACGTACGTGTACATAAATTAAGACCATTCAGCAAAAAGGAAGATGGGGTTGAGGCTCCGGTTTGGTTTCCCGTTTGTTTTCCTCCGAGGATGCGTTTCAAAGCTGTGATCAACCTTTCCAGGATACAGCCACCACAACAGTCCAGCGCCGAGCGTGGTGAAGACGAAGAGAGAGGAAGAAGCTTTTAATTTTGAGTTTTACTATTCCGTTGTAGTCCTCTCTAGTTGAAGACGTTGGCTGCATTATTCCAGTAAATAGCAAACAAATCAATGGCATAGATACCGACTTTCCAGTATTTTTAAGGTTACCGATGTTACAAATGCAAAACTATTTTCCTGTATGTGTACTGTACATAGTTGTGTATATTTATACCTCAACTCTAGGTTAATTGCAATCTGTTGAGCGCAGTGTCTGGAGTGCAGTCGGGCTGTTGACAGTAGTGCTGATATTGGCCATCGCCAGCGTGTCTCAGCTCCTTCTCCTGTGTTATCTGTGTGGCTGTAACGCCCATCAGGCAGTTGGCTCACCACGACTTTATAAAGGAAACTCTCTCTTAAGACCATTGCTTGTTTCTCCCGTGATTTTTGCGTTAGGGAGGATGCTGCAATGCATCAGGATTGATCTTCTGATTCCAGTGCCGGCAAACAGTAAATATTTGCCAAAGAGCTTAACATGGAATGGATTTTCTTTTCTTATTGTAGTCATCGTTGGTTTAGGTGGTTCCCAAAAGGACGTGTCCTGCTGTCCTGTGGTGCTGCTTTTCTCCTCTTGCAGTACCATTCGTTTGTGGTTCAAGTTGAATACCTTTAGCTGTTATAAAGGGAAAAATACCATCTTTTTCTTTTCTTAACCAAAGAAGAGGCACAGAAGTACGTTTAAAAGTCCCACTGGAATGGTACAAAACAAGTCATGCTCTGTATTAAGTGTTTTTCAGCGCAAGGCACGCTTCTCTTTGCTAGCATAAAATATCTGTATGCAGTGGATGGGGAAGGGGAGAACAAAACCCCACTGCAAAAGCTGGCAGTGACCCCTGCCCGTGCTCCGACCGCGGTTCCAGGGCAGTGCTTCTGGAAAATAAAGCTCCTTGCGTGCTCCCCAGGTGAGTTATAAGCAGTGGCAGAACACTACGTGCTTATTTTTGTGGCTGTAGGGCTGATGGGATGGATGTCCCCTATGGAGGTTGTTCAGAATTCCCGTTTTAAAGGATTTCACAGGCTTTTCAGTGGGGTGGTTTGAAACGTTGCCAGCATCGGGAAAGTGGATGTAACCCTCATCATAGGCTTTTATGTTTGAGATGTGCGTGTTGGGAGGACAGCAAAATGAAATAAAACTGTTGAAGGTGTCCTTCCCTTTCTCAGCTCCGACATCTGAGAGGGATGGGCAAGGCATTTTGGAGCAGCAGCTGGGTTTGAACTTGTTCAGGTGTTTCTCGCGTTTGGCTGTGGGATAACCCAGGCAGCGCCTGCCTGCCCCTCTGCTGCACCACTGGGGATTGTGCTGGGAATTTGGGGGAAGAGAAGGGAGGCGGCTTCAAAAGTCTGTATTTAACAAAGGCAGGTAAAGAATTTAACTTCTTCATGTATTTTTGGTATCTCTGAAGCTCACTGGCTAGGGAATCTGGTGTTTGTTAAACATTTTAATGTGTACATGCATATCTTCATCGCGCATGCACATAGACATTGGTATTGCAAAAATGTATAAATGCTTGAAGAAGTAACAGTTTACTCAGTTTATCTCATAGTATCTTCAAGAAATGAGCTCTGTGCACACAAATGGAATTGTACTTTTTCTAGTCTTAAAAAAGAAAAAGCAGACTTGCTTATAAACCCAAGCGTTTGGTTTTTGGCTCTTACGTCTTCCCTTTCATCCCTTTAAAATACTTTGCCGTAGGGTTGTTAAACACTGCATATTTTTGCCTGAATCCGCACAGGTTGTGTCTGTTGGGTTTTTGTTTTTTAAGGAAATGTGGTGTTAATGAGAGAATGATCATGGAGAGTGTTTCAGTACCTGCTTCTTGCTGAAGTTTGCTTGCGTACATTTGTAGGATTTAGGTTGTCCGTATAATGAAAGCGTGGTGGTTTATCCAGGTACGGCTTATGTTGCAGCCAGGCATTTTATGTTTCCACATAAGCAAATTTACATTTCCTCTTTTCCCCTCTCCGTGTCCTGGCCGCTGCTGCTTTCTGTGGCCTCTGAGATGCTGCGTGGCTCAGTTCAGCTTTGCTTCACTGCAGACCCTCGCGGGGCGTTGGGAATTACTGCACATGTGGGGGCTGCCTGCTGAAACTGCGGCTTTTGTGCCCCGAGGAGTAAATCCTCGTCTGTGTGGTGAGCAACCAGCACAGGTGTGTGTTGTGGCACATATAACAGTGGGTCATCTCATTTATGTATCTTGTGGTCACATCGTATTTTGGCGGTCGAACTCAGCGGTGGCCAATGCTTTCTTACACATTGCCTGCCCGTGGCATTCTTGACGGGTGTGTAGGAATCAAAAGAACACCCAGCTTCATCGTAAGTGCTGGATTTGTGGTCTCTGAGGAGGAAGGGTTTTGTCTGTAGTAGCCAGGAAACTCTTTGTGAACAGAGGTGACGATTCCAAAATCTCACCTTGCGTGGTTGGTGATGCAAAGCACGACTGAAAGCGGAGTCGTGTGGTCCAGGCGTTGTGGTGGAGGTTGCTGTAGGAAAGTCTGCATGAAGGTTGCTCATGAGAACAAGTGGCTCTGCTCTGGTGATATGAGCGTTAGAAGAGCGTACAAGTAGATAACCTCCTGGTAGTGTAGTGTGGAAAGAAATATGGGGGCACAACAACCCCATGGACACTACCGGCTTGGAGACGAGTGGCTGGAAAGGACCTG